CACCTAAAACCTACTTCCTCTTGTCTTGACTTAAATGGGACTACTCATGCACATTGTCTAAAATGATTTAAGACTGGGACATAGGTCCAGGTACCTGGCAGCATCCCACCATACAGTGAAGAATGTGGGTGTGCTGGCAAAGGGGGAAACCTGGTGACCAGCCCACCTGAATTGCAAGCTGCATGTGACAGATATCTTCAATTTACCCACAAAGTCCAGAAGACCATTCCTATGGCATTTGAGTTGTCCACTCCATGTTGGTGAAGTCAGGTAACACCAAGAAACATTGATAGCATTTTCCACCTTGTTTTCAAAAACAAGACCTCACAGTGGTTACCCTGGCAAAACTAGAGGCAGACAACCACAGATCCTAATGATCAGAAACTCCTAAGATTTATCCTTCCAGGGCCTGAGTTCTTCTGTTGCTGTGCCTATTACTGAGTTACCTATTACCTGTGACCTGTTCAAAACAGTAGCTTTCCATGGCAGTGTTCAACCTCTTTCAGCAGAACTTGGGCAAGCTGTTTTGAAGAACAAAGTAGGCTGTGAACAGCTTTTGGTTTACTTTGTTTGGAGGTTTTACAGAAGCACATAACCCTGAGGGAAGAGTACTGCTTTTGTTGTCCTTGTGAAAATATAGCCAGGATTTTCAAGTTACAAAGCTTAATATATTATTGTATCACTGTTTGGACAGGCTCTGTAGAAGGTCAAAAAACCTAATCTCCCCTGAATCCATTCATGGCAACAGGCATTTACTGGTTTTGGTCACCATGTCAGCTCAGTGACATTGGCAGAGTGACTTTCACACTTCAATGTCTACTTATTTCTTGTATCTTACAAAAATATACCAAAACCAAATCTTGTAACTGGAGGCAATGCCACACTGAAACAAATGTGGTCAGAAAGCCTCATCATGTTCATTAAAGTCTCATAATAAGCCTCATTCATGTTCATTTTACCACATTCAAACTGCACAACTATCCTTGCTGGGAAATTATACTGGAATGAGTCTAAGAAAGGAGGTAACTGCAACACCATCACCAGCTCCCTCCTCCTCTCCTTGGGAAGATATTCAGACACAAGAGGCAGCATAAATGTCTCTTTGCTGATGTGAGGAAGGCAAAATTAAAAATACTTTAGCTCTCGGTACAGCGTACTGCACTGAACTTTTTGGAGGAGAAGAGGAAATATAAAGGGTATGTTCTGGCTACAGTGAAATCTGACAGAGGAATTTAATATTTCATGTACTTTTTTTCTAAAGCCACACATTTTAACTTTAAGCCTGTTTCATTGTATTTGCCAAAGGAAAGAGGAGAAACCCAGCACAGCATCTGGAGAGGTTTCTCCCTGGGAAATCCTCACATCTCCTGGGCTTACACTACTGATGTTGCTCAGAGCTGTCAGGTGACCTTTACAAGCACGGTTTCACGGCAACCCTGCGCCACAAAAGTTTCCAGAGAAACTCCCCTGCTCTGTGAGGTTTCTCATTTTCCCTATTGGCTGTGCAGGGTTTCAGCTCTCTGCTAATTATATCAACACTCAGATACATCAACACTCAGATACAAACTCACCAAAATAGACAGTGTCCTGAGGCCCCAGCTGCAGGGAGGCAGACTTCTTTAAATAATCCAGGTGGAGAGGCCAAGCGGGTCAGAAAGTGCCCCTGGGCCATCTCCCACTGCTAATGGGCACTGCAGACAACCTTGCCGGGGCCAGCTCGTGTCATTAATTAGGGTGCAGGACCCAGGGCTTCAAAGGGATAGAGATTGACCAGGGGGTGTAATGCCATGAAGGAGATGCAGTGCCACAGCCCATTGTCAATGAGACAAAGGGCCCTATTATTGCTCGAAAGACTAGGGCAGTTCTTACCGTAATTAGGAGACAAAGATGCATGATTTAGGATTTTACATAATCAAGAGATACTCTCCCAAGCGAGAGCCCCTCTCACACAATCAGTGGATTAAGCATTGTTTACTCTGCTGCAAGTAAACAATGAGGTGCTCCCTGCTTGGGATTTTACATGAAAAAGCAGTTCTGGGCAAGACAAGGGGGAGTGTCTTTTCATCTGACTTTGAACAGCTAACCCTGTGATTTAAAGTTGTTCATTTGACAGTATCTGGAAGGGTGATGGCCCACCCTGTATATTAGCTGCTCACATAGGGCTGCCAGACAACCTTACCTTTTCTGCTACTTAGCAGAGGGTGGCCTGGACAGACAGACTCAGCTCTGGGGACAAGAGGCTGTATTTACACAGCAGCACTGAAATGGTAGGATTAAAGGACCACAGGGAAGCCAGGCAGAATTTCCTTCCCACCCTGGCACCTAGCCACTGCCGTGGATACATCTCTGAAGGGAGGCTGGTGCCACCATCAAGGCAGTGCACACTGGTGCACTGCTTCAGAGCCAGTTTGCAATCCTTTTCATAGGAACTAGGGGAGCAAAAATTAATTGGATGTTTGAGACCTGTGCCCTTACAACGAAAGGCCTTGGCTAGGCAGATTGATCTAGGCAGACTGAGCATCACTTATTTTTGATCATGACAAAACAATCTATGCTGGGCTACTGCCTACTGCAGTAGCTCCAAACAAACCACCAGACCCAGAGTATCTGACTCTGGGATACACATCCCATACCTTCCCCACAGGTCCTCATCAAGTGACTCTGTTTTTACAATATGGGCAATAAAAGGAGACTGCAGGTGTTACAGTCCCTGCCCTTTGCTCACAACACAGTTACTGCGCTTTTTTGTTTGTTTGAACTTTAACAAGAGTTATTTCCCCATGTCTTCTACAATAAAGCAACAACAGGATTTGATGAAAGCCTTCTAACATTCTGCAGTTTGCTTCCCTGACACAAGTACACCCATATACACCGGTCTCCTGCTCTACTACTCTAGCAAAATATTCTCTTTTCTTCAACTCTTTCACTGAAAAAAACAGCCTTAAGCCTCACAAAAAGGACTTCAGTCACTTGTACTCAGGACTGAGAATGGCATGCTACATTCTCTGTGTCTTGCTGAATCCTACAAACAGTATTGCAGAACCCTGGGAACCAGGGGATTACAGCCCCTGCTGGCCAAGGATTTTAACCCATTTCATTTGGGATGAAAGAGTCACTTTAACAGCAGTCCAAACTACTCTGCTTACTATAGAGTTTTCTGTTAGGTTGGGCCAGGCAGACAGTGTCATTTGACTTGTCTAGACTAGGATAGAAGGTGTGGCTAAAACCAGATGGGCAGGGTGAATTGCACTTTAATATATTAACTGTCCAGAGAGGACCACATCTTTCTTGTCCTGTCTTCACTGACACATCTTAAATAGCTGAGGGAAATACCTGACAAAACCCCTTTACTATCACCTAGACAATTCTATAAAGATAAGCATCCCATCACTACTCTTAAATCATACCCATGGAGCTTGTCAACTGTGACTTTGATTTAGGGACACATTCTAGTCTTTGCTGCTCAATAGAATCAAGGGTAGCAAATTCCATTTCAGGGGAATATTATCCCAAAGCAAGTCTAACACTAGAGCAAGAGCTGCACAAAGAGGTAAAGCATGTTTGCACAGCCACTGTGTCTTACTGCCTTGCCAGAGCAGACAGCAAAGCTGCCAAGCTAGAAGGGTATCTATTCCATTTTATCCATATCCATCATTCAAAGCAAGAAAATCCCCCTCTCGACTCAGGTCCATGGAATATAACTTTGTAAAGAGCTCATATATTCAGAGAAGCTTCAAAATGAGGGTAATGCCAGGATAAACCTTATATGCCAGCCACTTTCTCTAAAGTATGAAGTGTAAAGCAAAATTGTTCCAGCCTCCATTTTATGGGGGTTGCAGAGCTCTTACTGGAGAACAACTGTTTCAGCTTTGATCTATAATGAAAATTTACCTAATTTACTTCAGAAACAGCAAAGTATGTTTAATTATCTACTATTGAATGGACCAAGCTTTCAACTCCTTTCCCCAGTAACTGCAACATTAACAATGCCTTTAAAAAGTATTTTACATGTATTTACCAAGGTTTCGTAATTAAAAAGGGAAAAATTAATAGAATGAATCCCATTTAATACAATGGGATGCCTCTGCTCCATGCCATTAGATTAAGAACCTTTATCCAGGAGCGAGTGTTGACAATTAAAGATGCTGAATTCCTCACCCTTCCAAAATGATCATTAGAGACCAATGTCCCAAAATAAGTTTAAAATATTGACAAGCTTCTGCAAACGGACAATCTCCTTTCCTAAAGTAGCAGCTTTTCTACATGTTTCAACTAGACTTGAAAAATTTCTTTTATATCTTCATGTATCTGGCTCTACATTTTTCTATGGTAAAAAACAGGAAATAAAACAGTTTCAGGAGTCCCAGAGGCAATTACTTGATTCAAAACACAACATTCAAGCACCTTCCCGAACAATTAATAAATAATTTTTCCTTGTTTAAACAAGCTCATTTAAGCCAAAATCCACATCATTCCCTAACCTCAAAAGGCAGAAAAGCATAAAACATTTTATTGGAAGTTGGAAACCAGAAACTTATCTACCTTCACTAACTCCAATGACTGAAAAACCCTTTCTATCCAGCTGCTGCCTTCTCCACAAACAGAGTAATTTCATAGGATGATGCCTGAATACTTTTATCAAGTTTTTTTTTTATTAAGTTTTAAGCATCTTCAGTTTATCCTGTTAAATTTTTGCAATGTTGGCATTTCACAGTTTTATATAACAGTGATAGGTTTCAAGGGGAGGAAGAGGGGCTTTAATTTTTTCTAAAAACATTTCCAGCTATTAACTGGCAAGATGTCCTGTATTTGCAAAAAACAATAGAATTAAGCCCTACAGCACCCTGGTGACACAAGATGAGGCAAAACATTTAAAAACCTGCTCAAAACCACAAAGGGGGGCAATTAATAGCCCAGGGGACTGAGGGGCTCCTGCCCCTCCCCAGCAGGCTTCTTCAGGCCATCTGGTGACCAGAGACACTCTGGGTACTATCTCTTACCTCAATGAATTATCTGGATGTGTCTCCATGTGGGATTCCAGCCCATACTTGCAAAAAAAGTCTTTGAAACACACTGGACAATGATAAACTTCATCGTCAGCCCTCTTATCCCCTTCACCGGAATGGCCATCCTCGACAACCTTCAGAAAAAGAGAAAAAAAAAACCTCACTAAACCAACCTGAAAGCAACAAAACAAACTTGCAATCCATTCAAAGTCTTTCTCTTACAAAAAGTTACAGGCTTCATGTGTAACCTTGCTGCAAGCAAACACAAAGGACTCATTCCTCAGGAGAGAGGGTAAGCGACAGAGCCTCGGCACATGTGTAAGAACATGCATGACAGAAAAGGAGGCTCCGTAGGAGATAAAGTGTGCAGCTGAGTCACACATCTATCAGTTCTAATGAGGAACTGTGATTTGAAGAACTTATAAACCCATGTGTTTATATACCACTGAACTAGCATTCCTCCCCCTTTAGAAAGCCAGGGGAGCTGTCAGCTTAAATTATTTATGCCACTGAGATACTGCCAACTGCTAAGTCAAGTGGTTCAGGGAGAAGCAATGAACTTCAGCATTTTTTCTATACTTCTCTTCTGATTAGAGGGAGAAAAGCATGCACAGAGTGAGGGATACTGTGCTAAATGGAACTGCTACTAGCTTGCCATTTAGAGATAGAAAGTGGAAAGAATTAAGTTTGGCAGACACCACACATTTTGTACAAATGACTGAAATGTGTTAAAATATTTCATAAACAAAACCCTAATGGAAATGTCTAGCCTTCAAATAAATATTTTCTGGTCACTCTTGCAACTCCAATAAGGCAGGATTTTGCTTCTGTGAAAGGGAAATATATTGTAGATTTTTTTTCCTCCAGATCTAGACAAAAGGAGACTTTAGCTGCTGCTGCTGCTTTGGAAGCAATGATTGCTTTTTTAAAAGTTTAAATCACCATCCTCCAAGAATACTACAAAATAAATGGGAGGGGGAGAAAAAAGCTAGAGGAAAAGCTGCAGTAGCAAAAGAATAGTACATCTTCTTGTCATCCAACAATAATTATTTATAAATCCTAAGAAAATTCAAAAATTTAAACAAGAGTTTTAAAAACTGAATTATTTCAATCTCTGAAATTAGAAATTAATTTTCAATCTCAGACAACTGTGTTGGCTACACAGGATAAGCATGGCAACTCATATGCAGAGCTATAACATGTCTATGCTGACTGCACAAACCAAACAGCTGACAATTTAGGAAGTAACCAGGAACATCTTTTGCTTCATGCCCTGTAAAGAACCTTTTTTGCAGGTGTTCTCTCCTCTCTGTCCAGCTCAGCATCATGACTGAACTTCCGTTTCGAAGACAATCGCCTGCGCTTCAGTGGCGAGGGGGGAGTGGTGCTTGCTGTGCTGTTTGGATCCTTCTCATGAATCTTCATGTGCCTGAGCAGGAGGGGGAAGAAGACACTGTCAGCAGGCAAATCCAGGGCGGGAAGTCAAATGTAAATTTTAATACCAACACCACTTCTAAGGTTGGCCTTTAAAGGATACCACCAGAGATCACATAAACTGACCTGAACTTCGGAAAAACAGCTGTGGCATGATCCAGCACAGGACCTTTGCAGTGCCTGGGCCTGTGAGGGGCTGCAGCAGGGAGCCCACAAGCTTTCACCCATGTCCCAACTCAAAGTACGACACTTGCTCTGCTAACATCTATTTACATGAGCACCATGACCATTCCCATCATCCACAAGTTCCTGGTTCTGCCTAAACCTGCTCAGCAATCCATATACCCAGCCCCTCTGTCTTGTGGCAGTCTGGTAAGCAAAAGCCTGCAGCTTAGAATCCACTTCTCTCAGATGAAAAAAAGCACCTCATCTTCAACTGGTTCTTTGTATAGAAGTTGAGACGGTATATGCCAACACCAGAGCAACATTTGTTAAATATATTCGTTTTCTTCTCATCCTTAACACAATGGTGGACCCCAGTATCAAATTTCAAGCGCAGCTTTGAAGTCAGGATTATTTGTTCTCACTGTTACAGTGCACTAGGGATGGCTTGCAAAACTCTGTACTGCCAAGGCATGTTAACAAACCTGCTTTCCCAGGAAAACAACTATTTCTTGTCACAAAGACACAGGAAAAGGGAAAGGGACAGAATTACTCAGGAAGCAATCTCGTTAACATCTGTTTACCTGACCCACTTGCCTCTTGGTTTTCTGTATCTGCAACCTGAGGAAGACACAGTTGTCTAGCTCCCTTTAGTTAGATGGAAGGTATTGCTGCCATGCTTCTTCTTCTGACAACTCAAAGCTCACATTTAATTTTTTTTTTTTTTCAAGGTGGGGCCCTTAGCCTCACTTCAGATTTATATTGCCATTGAAAAATAAATCAAATGTATGTTCCTAGGGAGTTGCCATTTATCCATATGACTGACTTCAAAGAAACACAATGGAGTCAATATTAATGACACTTGGACAAATCTTTCAGAAGTCACGGTCACAACTCGGCTCAGGACAGTGCCATTTAACGTGACAGCACACTATCATGCTCTAACATGAGAGAATGTTGTAATGCAGACAAGTCTTGCACGTCCTCATAACTGCTTTGGTGTTATGACATAAAATCTATTTTAGTTTTGGATGCCAAGGGTATGATGCTTCGAGACAACACAGTGGACCAAACTGACCCACAGCAGACTCCACTAGAGCTGCTGGGAAGACTGTCTCATCGCACAATGCTTTTTTTAACGTTTCCTTTCACAATTTCAGAAGCTTTGAAAGAAATTAAGGCATCTAAATCACTGTCTCAAACTATAGCCTGTCTCAAACTGCAGGGTGTTGTGCAGGAACAGTCTCATGCCAAAAGCACCACAGGAGTCAGGACAGATGCAAGATTAAAATGGCTGTTTAGCTACTGCCTGCTTTCAGCATCCATCAAGGCTGAGGCTGCTTGGAGGATCAGGTACACCAGGAAAAAGCCTGTTGTTTTCCCACATCTCCAGTAACTCTCACTGGTCACTCTGATGGTGGACAGACACTGGTGACACCCGTCAGTCACATCTATGTGCAGATGTGCCCAGCAGATTGGATACTTCACGGAAATGCTGCTGAAATTTTCTGACCTTTTTCCCTGCCAATCACCCACATGGGAGGAGAAGAAATGCTGACTGTCTGAGCATTTGGCTCTCTCCAGGTTTGACAGAAGCCAGAGAAAACCCGGAGTGCTGACACAGCATACAGAGTGCTGTGCACTCCCCTGCCTTGGCCCTCTGGTAGCTCTGGCATCACAGGCACCAAAGCAACTGATTTAGCCACATGAATCCAGAGCTACCTTGTCTCACAAAATCTGCAGGAAGGCACCTATAGATACTCTGCTGCCTCATTTTCTTTAATCTTGGGGTTTTTTTCCCCTGTGACACTGATCTAACTTCTTGTTTTAGCTAGAGCTTCTTTCATGGGTGATAAAACAACAGCATGAGCTGCAGTTGCCTGTATTCACACAAGAATAAGGGAGAAGAAACCAGTTATTTGTTCAAGGTCCACAATGATAGAAGATAAAATTCAGAAAGCATCTTGGAACAAAAAATAAAAATATTCAACTGCACAGGCAAAGCAAAACCTGGAAGGTGGATTCTTTGTCTACTCTTGTATTATTTATTTTTGGTAAAAACTATTTTCCAGTTTCAGTGATCTCTTGAAAGTAAGGACAGAAGCTTTTGCTGTGCCTGTCTGTCCCTGCACCCCAGGCACTCATACATGGCCTGACTGCTTAAGCCTCTGGCAGCTCAGCTGAAGCACAGCTAACTCTACTTGGCCAGTTACTTTTCAGATAGCTAGGGAGCAAAACCAGTCAAACTAAATCACATTCATCCAGAAAACAAGCAACAAAAAAACTGCTACACGGTGGAGTGGGACATTTTCTTCCCATTTTCTTTTAAGCCTCTTTCCAACCATTCACAAGCATGCACAACTGTTTAGCAGCTATGCAAAACAGGTTCCTCAGGGCTAAGTTCTTTCCTCCTGCTGTTTTTCCACCTGTTGAACTGTGCTTGTTTTGATGGAGATGGCTCCTGCTTGAGAGGGGTGTGACGGCATATTCACAGCACACCAACAGGAAAAACCCTTGGGACCTCCAGGTTAGTGCCAGCCCAACCTGGCACCTCTGCCTGGCATGACTTAATGCATGCAAACACACTGGCTCCTGCAAGTCCCAAAAGCAGCTCAGCTGTGCTTGCAGTCAGGTATGCCAGTAAGGCAGGGCTTGCTAACATGGGTACAGCACCCCAGTGATGGGGGCTTTGCTATGTCTGGTGTCAGTCACTGGCTGCCCCAATTGCTTGCCGTTCTCATTCATGCAACATGCGTGCTTTTGCCATGTCCTAAAAGTCACAGCAGAATCCATACCACAGCAAGGAATGTGGTGATCCCTTCATGTTTTAGTTTCACATATTTGAAAGGAAGTAGCCTAAGCTATTGAGCTATAAACAGGAAGACACCCTGACTGCACCTTTGACTTTTACTGGGTAGGTCAAACATCACAGCTGCTGTGATAGCTCTATGCATGTGATCATTTAGGGAAAAAAAGGAAAATTCCGAAAGCAAAGCAGGAGGTTCCAGAGTTCTCAAGGAGAGTCGCAACCTGCCCACATTACAGCCAGCAGGTTGCTCCTTTGGCAGGTTCAGCAAGTTTCACTGCATCAAATTTAGGGTGGAGAGGAAAAAGATTACTAGAGCTACAGCCCAAGATAAGCGGGAAGATAAGGCCAAGAAGTACAAAGGATAGACACAATCTTCATCTCTCTCTTTTACTTTGCAACATGGATGTCATTCTGCCTCCAGACAACACTTATCACCCAACATGGGTTGAACTTCAGTAGATGCCAAGTCACATCCACAACCTTTCTTTTAAACACTCCCTCCACCGAGGCTTCTTCTACTTAAGAAGTTTCCTAACCATAATTAAGCGGGGGGAAAGTATTTGTGTTGCCTTACTCCTTTAGAAGAGTTTGCCTTGATTAGATCTTACATTTAACACTGAAAATGTTCAACCTCACTGTTTAGACTGCCAAGATATAAGGAGAACAGGAACAAAGCTGTGTTTAGAAGTTATTTTCCCTTTGTGACTATAACAACATATTTTGGCCTGACAACACTGGCATACTTAGAATGCAAAAGACAGGCTCGTAAGTCAGGCTGGCTTTCAGCATCTTACAGTGATAAAGAAAAAGGATATGACATTAATCAGTTCCAAAAAATAAACACTCAACACTTTAAGTGAGAATGTAGCTAAAAAAAAAAAAAAAAAAAAAAGGGCAAAATAAGGACATGCACAGAAATGCTCATATTCAGTTGCAGATGCAAGTTACAGTAACATGTGCCAGCAGCTTTAAAGTGACCACTGCTGCAGCTCAGGAGACATCCAGAATCACAGTGGATGAAAACTTGGATTTCTTTTTCTAAATTAAATCAATGAATTGTGACTCTGAGCCATTCTACAGAGCAACCAAAGTACACCAGACAAGCTCAGGAAGGTACAGAACCCTGAAAACTGCACCTCAATAGTCTTCCCAGCATGCATGCAAGTACACATACACTTGGGACAGTGCTGAAGGTGGAACACTAAAATCCAACCATGATATACACAGGGAAGGAAGGAGATTAAAAACTTGAGCTTTGTATTAGGGAGGACTCATTTACACTGAGTGCTAGCTTAGCCTCAATTAACCTCTCAAAGTGGTGGAATTCTATTTAAAATCAGACCAGAGAAAGAACCAGAAAAATTTGCAAAAAATAAATAAAAAATGAAACTAAGAGGAAACTAAGTCTTTTTCAAACATGGTCCGATCCACCTCTGAAGTTTATAAACTCTTAATGCTTAAGAACTGCTATGCAAAAGAAAAGGAAATACCTTGCTATATACTATGCTTTCCACAGCACAGCTGTACGAGAAAAAGCTCTCCTCATAATCTCTTCCCTCCCCCTCACAAGAAGAATTTCACAGGTGAGCCAAGAGGATCCAACTGTGCTAGGACTGTGTGCCAGTCAGCCCTCCCAAGAAAATCACATTTTTTCAAGTGCTTGACTGCCTTTCATTCCATCCTCCCCCTGAGAATCACCTTCCACTTCCCCTCTTCTGCCACAACTTTCCTCTCCCCTCTCAGGGTCACATGAGCAGGATGACTAAGATGATACTGCACAAGAATTCCCCTGGCTTCTTTCCTTTTTTTTTTTTTCTTTTTTAAGACAAATGGGCAGAAAATTTTCCAGCCCTACACTGTAATGCAGAGCATGATTTCAGGAGGTTGACCATTCTACTAAAACAGCAGCAAGTGAATATATTGCTATTTCACATTGAAGATGAGACTTCTGTAGTAATAGGCAAATGCAGAACTCAAGTACCTTTTTCCTTTTTCTCTTGTGGATAGTGTTGGGAACCATGTCT